TAACCACTATGCTACCAGAGCCTAACAAACCCTATACAGACTGACTATGAGTTGGAGTCCACTGGATGGCAGTGAGTGTGTGTGGTACTGTGAATTTACTAGATTTGGCTTTTCTATCCAAAGTCTTCTTAATGTTCATCAAATGTTGGGTGGGACCATGCAGATAGGTTGTGCAGGACGCTTAAATCAGGATTGGTTAGTTTTGTCATCTTTCTAGGCTTAAAGGGAGCCATCTCAGAAGGAGGAATAGACAGTCCTAGGACCATCAAGAAAGAATAAGTACGAGCGGAGCAAGAGACACCTACTTGAAAAAGTATTGGCAGCAGAGGTGGTGTCAGAGGTTGTGGCATGTAGAGACAGAGCAGCTGAGGGTTTCCTGGCCCATGGACTGAGTAAAGCTGAGTGGCCATGGGAAAGAGGCTGGCTTACAGAAAGTGCACCTTGGGCATTTACAAATTGACTAAGGAAACTTTGTAACACATGTCCATTTGGTGCTATAGTTAGAGCAGCCATGTGACTGAGACGCAGAAGACAGGAGCCAGGCACGCTTCAAAGCAAGTACAGCAAAGAAGAGATGTATCTGATTGGAGAAATGCTACACCCTGGGTTGTTTACTTTGCTAATACATGCCATAATCATGAGCATTGTCTATGAGTTCAATGTGGCCACCGTTTTAACAGATTATTGAAATCAGATATGAAACACAGTATCCTATGGGAAGTATGGTTGGTGGTAGAATAGGGTGAAAGAGTTTATAGGTTGAAGGCATGCTTGACTTCTGTTTCATAGGAATCAACATTGGGCCAATTTTGAGTTTATTTTTTCTTCTGCTTTGTAAAGCCTGAGAAGACAGATAAAGCCTAAACACCATTTTTGCAGTGAGTATTCCTGAGTTCTGGTGTGGTTGCTGTAGGATGTGCACTGGACTGGCAATTCAAGCTCACCTGGTGTGGCGCTGTGGGTTAATGCGCCAGAGTGCAAAGCTGCTTGAACTGCAAGGTCGGGGTTGTTCAAGATCACCAGCTGCTTCTTGGAAAACGCTATACAGGGTTGCTAAGGGTCGTAACCGACTGGATGGGACTTAACAACAACAAAACAGAAATCTCTCTTTGGAAAACCTATATCAGGTTGATGAGTCTGAAATGACTCGATGACACTTAACAACAAAAATACCATTCTACAGTTTGATTTACAAAATCAAGGTTTTGATTTTGTTCTTTGAAAATAAATTCAAGAAGTCTGCTTTAGAAGAATTGTTGAATGGAAAAATGATCAGCTCTGTAAACCTTTACCCAATGTACAATAACAACAAAGAAGAGTTTATTTATTAAAGCAAACTATTACTAATAGTTAAATACATAAAACAGTAAAAATTAAAGAAAGTAGAAAAATTTGCATTTTAAATATCATGAAAATGTGACCATTTTATTAAATGAAAACATGTAAACATTATAAATATGTAACAAGTCAGAAGTCATGAACAAATATAAATAATAAATAAATAAATAAATGAATAGATAAATAAATAACCAGTGCAGTTATCTCCTGAAGACTGATGTAGCTGCAGCTGGCT